AGCACAGTAGTTTAAAGTAATTGTTGACATTTCTTTCCAACGTCATTAGAGTTACCTGTTCTAGTAAAGCGCAGTTGCATGCTCATGAAGCTGGTGGCTTAGCCAGATATTACGCAGGCGACTCTGGAGAACTGATATAAACACCAACATTCCTAAAAGTAGTCCGTATATATAGATACCCGTGCTCATTCGGGAATGTCAGCACAATACTGCCTAAAAGAATAATCCCTGCGCGATACAAATGTTCCATTACCGCAGTTTTAGGGATTGGAAATGAACTCCGATGTTTTCGTTATGACCCCACTACAAGGACATCGCATGGGGACTGGTTTGTGCGTGAAGCAGACTGAATTTAGTATTCCGTATCGCAGCAACACATGAAACGCATTGACCATTAAATGGCACGTGCAACTGACGTATCTTGTACACAGCGATATGCTCGACGAACAGGTGGACCAACTGTACAACTAATCACAGGCAAAAACTATTTTTTGAGATGATATTATCAGCCTCTCATTACCGTGTTACCTTACTGATGAAACATGGTGCAACGGCCACTAGTCGCTCATGCAATCTGTTTCGGCCGCGCTTTCGCCTAGTAGTAACGCGCCAGCCAAAACCGCAGTATCTAGGCGCGTCAACAATTGTGTCACTACCATCAGTCCAACACTACATCGTCAAGTTGCAGATATGTACAGTGAAAAAACTGCCACATGCGTGTGTAAGAGCTTCCGATAGCCGCTATAGGGCCAGCCAGGATCACCAGAGACTGATAAAGGTTGAGTCAACCGCCCGCTGGGGGAGACAAATATCATTGAACATCTCGCTTCGACACCTTTCTACTGCGAATGACCCAGCAAAGAAACCCCCTTGGAGGAAACCCCAGGCAATCCAGTCGACTGTCATAACAGAAGTAAACACCGAAGAACTTGAGCAATCGGCAGTAAAATCGTCGGAACAAGAGTTGAGCGACGAGCAGCTGGCTGTGTTAGACCTCGTTCTGAATAAGGGCGAGAACGTCTTCTTCACGGGCCCTGCAGGTACTGGAAAGTCTTTTCTTCTAAAGAAAATCATAGAAGGCCTAACGATCAAATACCTTGGAAATAGCACTGGCCGCGTTGCTGTTACCGCGTCTACAGGTCTTGCTGCCAACACTATTGGTGGAAAGACGCTTCATAGTTTTGCTGGGATAAAACTTGGCAATGCTCCTACAAAAGAGCTCATTGCTGATATACACAAGAACAAAACGTCATGGGAGCGTTGGACAGGAGTCGAGGTCCTTATCATTGATGAGATATCTATGGTCGATAGCACGCTGTTCGACAAGCTTGACACCATCGGACGCGCGGTGCGGTTCTCTAACCTACCATTTGGAGGAATTCAGCTTGTTATTACAGGCGACTTTTTTCAGCTACCTCCGGTAGTGCAAGGGAGTGACGATGGAAGCCCGAGGTTCTGTTTCGAAGCCAATGCATGGAAGGAAGCTGTCCGGCACACGATCAGTCTGACTAAAGTCTACAGACAGAAGGACCCGTTGTTTGCCGGGATGTTGAACGAGATGCGCGAAGGCTGCTTCTTACCAAGTACTATTAGCACTTTTCGAAGATTGAGCAGGCCGGTAATGAAATTTGCAGACAAGGGGTTGGAAGCCGCTCAGCTCTTCCCTCTACGTCGTGAGGCTGACTCCGCAAATGTCACAAAGTTGCAAACACTAAAAGGCGGGGCGTACAAATATACATCTTGCGATGGCGGAATTATCACAAACACAAATACTCGCAAGAGACTCTTGTCCAATTGCCCCGCACCTGAGATGATCCAACTGAAGCAGGGTGCACAAGTTATGCTTGTTAAGAACTTAGGTCATGGCCTTGTCAACGGATCCCAGGGCCGTGTAATTGGTTTCGCAAATCGACACACCTTCTTCCATGCTCAATGGCACGACAAGGATTACGTTGCCAGTGAAGATTGGGATTCTGAAGCCAGACTGGTTACAGATGAGGAAGCTTGGCCAGAGGAACGCCCGCCACTTTACCCTGTAGTGCGCTTCCATGAATCGCATGGAAAACAAACTGTACTTTGCTACCCTGAACGGTGGGTTATTGAGCGATGGGTTCGTATACAAGCAAAGAAAGGCGTAGACAATGATGAAGAAGATAGGTGGTTTTGCCAGGAACTTGCAACCCGAACCCAAGTTCCCCTTATCCTTGCGTGGGTATTGAGCATTCACAAGGCACAAGGCCAGACGCTATCACTTGTGAAGATAGACTTGGGCAACGTATTCGAGAAGGGCCAGGCGTACGTAGCATTGTCCCGTGCGACGAGCATAGACGGTTTACAAGTGCTGAACTTCAACCCTCACAAGGTACAAGCACATCCAAAGATTAAGGCGTTCTACCCCAGCTTGTCAAGACTAACATTTTGATGAATGTAACCATTCGTCTTGAGTGTAAACAAATCCGCGTCTATACTGTAGCTAGTTAATACGAATAATAGTTTATCCAATGCGCAACCGTCTACTCTACCCAGGTACTTCTTTAAAAACCTTGATATTAAAACCTACTACTACCATATATTTAGTGAACGTGGCCGGCAATCGATTTTTAGAATATGGAAGGGTTATTTTTGTGTTACCTGGTTGTTATATTGGATTTAGCTTTTAGGGATATATATCAATCTGAGAAAAGGTGTGTTTGCTACTGGCAGTGTTTGATGACTTGATAAAGCAAAGCAGGGTCGATGAACAATGTTCAAGATGGCCTAGGTGGCAGTATCTTGGCTCGATTCCTATCATCGTTTCTTTGGACCGTACGTTCTTCATCAAGACATAGAGACAATGGGTTAAGTGCCACTCTAATGTAGTTATTACAAACATACCCTCATCTATAGCGTGTACGAACGACATCTGTACCGGCTTGGCAAGTGGAGATGCTTCGTCGATTGATAATTGTTGATTGGGGTGTGAGAAAGTATGGAAGGATATGTTCATCGGTACGGCGTTGCTTGTTCCTTTCATCAAGTGGAAGAATTGTAACAATGCATTATACAAACAGGAAGAAGGTACCCAGGCCATCGCGCACGGATCGAATGTACAGTTCCTGGCCAAAGCATCCTCTGCTGATGAACTTTCTACGCTACGATATCATATCCTCCCACAACATTTATATCTCAGGGTTCGAGCAAGGGTCTCGCTGAAACTCATTCGAATCCTTTCACCCTGACTACAAAATCGTTTTTTTGATCCCTGACTCTGGCAGGTTGGGGTGTGATCTGCCATTCTTTTCTGAGACAATTGGACCGACACGCTACATAGAAAACAGAGAAGAAACACTCAGTTAGTCATAGGGCTAATAATCATATAAGAAGATAAACTTTGGAATTGAAAATAATATGTAATATAAAGTAGGGAAGTTTTTTTTGTAAGATTTTGCCCACCCTTCCCACGATTCCATTCGTCAATATCGTCCCCTACTCCTACTCCTACTCTGAAAAGCCTTGGTTTGGTACAACTAGTTGGGAACCTTCCTTGCACGCCACTCAGCAGCCTTGGTCTTGCAGAATTGGACAGCTTGCTTGTGACCTTCATCGCTCTTTCCGCCAGCAACAACACAAGCCTTGTTGGCCTCCTGACGCTTCTGTGCGCACCTATTTGAATTGTCAGCTGTCACGCATTCACAACCAACTCTACCATGAAGACTTACTTGGTGTATCCTCCAATGCACTTCTTCTTGAGTGCTTCTTTGGCATTCTTGTCGCCTCCCTTCTTGGTGAAAGTGGTAATTGCGTTACTGGGGCATTTCTTCTCAGCGGCATGGTACTCCTTGGTGAGGTCCGTCATCAATTGCAACGATTTTTGCTGTTGTGCCTTGACCTTGGCATCCGTGGAGAACACAGGGTTGCAGGTAGGATTGTCGCGAGTGAAGACGTCAGTGACGGCACTGACAGCGTTGTTGTTGGCCACAGGTGCAGCGATGACGATTGCTGGAGCAGCCAACAGCAGGGCGGTAAGAAGGGATGTAAACTGCATTTTGAAAGCGAAGTTTGAAATCGAGTGGAAGATTGAACAACAGAGTGTGTGGTATCAAAAGAGCGTAGCTAGATCGGAGAAGACTGGAAGTTTGAAGCGTGAATGATGATGCTCTCGAAAATACAATACCATCCCCTTTATATACACCGTTAAGGGCTGTACTGTGTCTGTGCGCGCAATACCTAATATGCAAGATCTTGGGGTCTTGTTACGGCTGTTCTACGGCTGCAATAATATGAGTACAGAGACCATAAGCACCCGTATTCTGATAGTATTCTACTATCAGGATACGACGCTCTTGCCTCTCTATAACCTTTACTAGTAAAAGGTTGAGACTATGCTTTGTGGCAGCTAAGGCTTGCAATGGCTGTCCAACGGCGGTGCAACAGCTATTCCATGGCTGTAATGTTAGCCACCATGCTCTATGCCTATTCCATGACGCTTCTGCACCTTCATAATTCTTGCAGCGCCTATAACGCCTAAGAGGCCAAAGTAGCTTAGATAACCTACTGGATTTTGCTTACGTAGTCAATGAAACAAAGATTATGGAACAAGTTAAACGATTCTCCAGAAACGAAATCCCGAAAACGTAACACGCGTCTACCGAAGGAAAAACAATGACCTAACGGCTCTTACCGTCTGTAAGAATTACAGATAGATTAAACAAAACTCTAAACTAAAATCTAGTGCTTGGCACTGAGCGAGCGGAGCGTTGGCATTCTTGGACGCCAAGCCTGCTATTATCTATGATATACTTAGAAAGGACTACAAAATCAAGCTAGGGAAAATTAAAGGGTGGGCAAGATGTAACAGAGGGCTATGCTTGTGTGGTTATCGCTGCACTTAGACATTATGCGTTATAAATTCGGTCAGGCGCGTGCGGCGAGGGCTATGGCCTATTGCCCCTTCTCTCGCCGCAGTAACATAGCCGGACAACACCAAGCCACCACCAAAGGAGCCACTTGAGACGTTACCAAACAGCATAAAAATAAAGTTTGAATATATATTAGAAATATCTAAAATTAGATACTATACGATTTTAGTAGATAGTGAGATTTTAGAAGAGTTAAATCTTACGTACAGAAGTGCAGCTACGTATTATTATTATTATTATTATTGTTTAACGTCCTGTGTCAGCCCGAAGGCTATATAAGACGTGCAAGCTGATAAGGCTTACAGGTATCTACGT